GCAGGACAGCGGGGCAGCGGGGTGTGGGCACCCTCACCTGTCTGTGTGCGGGGCTCAGCCTGGGCTCCGCGGCCTCCGCTTGCCCCGGACGTGGACCCAGGCTATTGGTGGGCAAGATAGAGGACTGAGCCCAGGCACGCACAGCTGGCTAGGTAGGGCACCTGAAGTGCAGATCCGCCAGGCCCACTGCAGGCCTTGAATTCGCGCTGCTGGGCAGTTTCCAAGAAGACGGGATCTGTCCCAAGAGGGGAGGTAGGGCAGGGTTGCCAGATGCCGGGTTGGGTGCGGTCTTACAGGAGAGCCACAGTGAGAGGGCACAGAGCGGCCCTTGTGTAGGTGGGGATAGGAATTTGGGGTATGGGGTGGGGATGGTTTGTGTCTTCCTCTGTGGTCTCCCCAAGAACTCTTACCCCCAAGCAAGGGACCCTGCTCCCTCCACCCTTCACTGCATCCCCTGCCTTCCCCAGCACCACCGCCCCTGCCCCCAGAGTGTCCCATGACTTCTCCCCACACAGGGCACTGTCCCTGTTACAGGTAATGAGCTCCTGGTGGTTCCAGCCCGAGGGTGGGGGCTGTATCTAACCTGTTAGGATGCCTGGAGCCTTTGTATGAAACCTCAGACCATAATGTAGGCATGCACAGAGGCCCCTCAAACAGCATTTCCTGCATGGCCCTCCCCACCACGCACCCACATCGCAGCTGCCACACTGGGCCAAGCCTGTCGGAGGACCCCTGGTTCCTCTCCTCCTGTCCCTGATCAAGAGTGCACCGCCCACACTGCTGGGTATTTAGGGGGCCTTAGAAGAGCAGCTGGTATTTTCATGGGCAAATATTTGCTCTTTTGGGAAGATTTGAGTGCAAAGGGATCTAGGGTATGCTTTTTCTGTTGCCCTGGAACTGGTGACTAGGATGCAAACTATAGTCAAAGCAGTTTTTACAGAGAGCCGCAAAATATCTAACCCAAAGATCACTGTTCCCCAACAAAGGCAACACCTCCTGGCGGGTGGGGGCCTGGCCCCTCTTTCTGGAGGTTGGAGTTTGCACCCTCCAGCTGTGACAGAGCCCGAAACAGCTCTGAACACGCTGCAACAGGCTTTCCCAGGACAAACTGCCTTTATTTTGAATCTGGGTGAAGGAACCAGCTGAGAAATCTGGGTAAATCTTCCCGGGTGTAACCATGCCTTTTATGCTGAATGAAAGAGCGGCTCTCCACACGCTAACATCTTAGAACTGAATGTGCGTCGAAGCCTTCATGCATGTAGCATGTTGGGAACAGCGTTTCATGGTGAGAGGAACTATATAACTTACATGTGTATGGGGAAGCCCTCACTCCAACAGGCTTTTCCTGCGCAAACTGCCTTTATTTCAAAATTGGCTCTTGCTGAGAAATCTTGGTAAGCGTTCCTAGGTGTAACCATGCCCATTATGCTGGGTGAAACAGCGGCTCTACACTTGTTCACATCTCAGAAATGAATGTGTGTTGAAGCCGTCATTCATGTAGCTTGTTGGGAACACAGAATTTCGTGGTGAGAAGAACTATGTAAATTACATGTCTATGATGAAGCACTCGCTCGAACTGGGTATTCCAGCGCATACTGCCTTTATTTCGAACCTGGCTTCTCAGAAGACCTGTGGTCTCCACTGCAGGTCTGTCTCCAAGCCCAGGGCCAGCATGGTGACTCGCTCCCCCTGTCTATTCTGGGAGGTAAAGATGTCCTCCATGGCCCTTCCACCATTGTTTCTTTTGGAAACACCCCGCAGATGAAATGGACCTGAGAACAGGAGAGCTGGATGCCAGCAGCCACTGCCCAGTGTGTGGCTCCTGGGAGGGGCATCTCCTCTCTGTGGGCTCTGATCTCCCCTCCTCTCTCCCCCACCCCCACCCCTCTCCTCCTGAATTTCCTGATTGATCCCTGGATAATGGTCCATACCAGGAATGACCTGGGAGAGGTTTTATGAGACTTTAAGGAAAAAAAAAAACTTTAGACAAATTACTGAAAGTAACTTCCAGCTTTCCCTGGAAAGTCCTCTTTCCAATGTTTAAGGCTAGTTGACGTGGTGTCAAATTGCCTAACCACTCACATCTGAGCAA